AACTCCATGCAGACAGCTTGTTCATGAGGTGTAAGTAAATCCATAACCATCCAGTGTTCAATAGTTTTATCCATTAGACCACTGGTAGACTTAAAATGGTGGGTATCACTGAAAATTTTTGATGATAATTAAATATGTAACATTAAAAAAATTTATTTATTTATTATTATTATGTATTATAAAATAATAGTTAAATTGAAATGTAGTCATAATGTTTGAATTTAAAAAGTTTGATTAAAATTATTTAAAGAATTATTATTTAATGAAATAAACTTATTAAAAGCCAATTACATATAGTATAATATTAAGTAATATTTTTTCTGTAAGCACATACTTTTCAGCATAAAATATAAATTATATTTGTGTTTACTAATAGTTGAATAATTATTTTTGTATTACTTTTGATTTTTCAATAGTAACCAGTCATTGCTGAAGTCAATAGAATTTCGTTTATTTTTTGAAATGAACATTCATCTGTGATAAAATTTCATAACAAAAATAAAATTTAAGAATAAGTCAATTAAATGAAGTGCAAAGCTTATACACCAATACTATATTTTTAATAATTTTTATATAAAATGTATAATTAATAAACTTTTTTAATACAATTAATTTTTTATCAAACCTCCATTTAAATTTATTCTTTAAATTTCATAATTCAGATTCATTAAATTTTATTTTAGAAAACAGAGATAAAATAATTAAGAGAATAAAACATTTATTTAGAGAATAGAAATTGAATCACTATATGTCATTTCCATGTATTAAAATGTATTTGTGCTTCCTTTCTACTTCTTTGTAACAATAAATTATTGCATAATCATGATTAAATGGATGAATGCTATGAAAAATTTTCTATTCATATTTCTATTTATAGTAATTAAAACAATTATTTTTTAATTGTTTAAAATATACTGTTGTTTTATGTAGAATGTCATCATTTGAGTAACCATTAGTGATCATATTGGTATAAGATCTTTTTCATTCAATCCTAGATATTTTTTTATATTAGTACAATCATAACATAAAAGTTTGTTAAAATAATTCAGAAAAGTATAATTATACTACAAAAAATAGATGTGAAAGGTGACAAACAATTTTTTTATATATTCATAAAACTCATTATTATAATAAACAATGACAAACAATGTTTTCATTATATTTTGTTGATAATGATTGATATATCATCCTCATCTGTTAAATAGAGCAATAAATTAAATATCAATTTATAAACAGCTGCTTCCTTTTATTTTTATGTGTTATTCAATTAAAACATATCATTACCTATTTAACCCAAAAATAGTTATTAATAAATACATGAATCATTATTAATCTTGTTTTTAAAAATATCTCTAGCTTTATGTAAATGTAAAAGTGAATTGTACTTGTAAATAAAATACAGATCTACATAATTGCATGCTTTGTAATTAATGTAATTTACAATTTACATTTAATCTACAATATAATATATTTTTATAATTAAAATTAATTTTTAAAATTTATCTTGATACTTATCTTAAAATAGTTTATTAAATCTATATATACAGTGGAACCTCGATTATCCGGACTAATTGGGGATGAAGGTAGTCCGGATAAGGAAAAATTCGGATAATCGAAACAAATACTTTTGTCTTTTAATGATAATACAACACGTTTTCTTTTTGATGACATATCGGTAATATTAAAAGTAAATACTGTACTTAAATCGTGATCAAATTTTTAAGAAACAAACGTTCATATTGAATTTGTACTACTACTGACCAATGCTAACCCTCTGGTGGCGCAAGAAGACGGATTTTATAAAATAAAAAGCAGTTGAAACTGCATTTTTATGAATAAAAATTTGACAAACTATTTATCGTTTTATGACGAGTAAAATTTTTTCGTCGCGTTCGCGGNNNNGCGCAAGAAGACGGATTTTATAAAATAAAAAGCAGTTGAAACTGCATTTTTATGAATAAAAATTTGACAAACTATTTATCGTTTTATGACGAATAAAATTTTTTCTTCGCGTTCGCAGCTTAAGTAATGCTTAAACCTTTGAAATGCGAGGCCCTTCGGACCGCGAGGCATAAGCGGTGGCCCACGTCGCCCACGCCTTACGCCGCCCTTGGTCATAGAAATGATGTAATTTGAAAATAAAATTATTTATAAATACGTATGTCACGTTATATTTTTATTATGACGCAAAATATATTTAAGAGTTTACGGCCACTGTGCCGGGTGAGATGTTGTTGAAACAAAAAAAATTATGCATTCCATCACGTACATAAACAGTATCGTAATTCACCAACTGCAAATCATCAAATTCGTAAAATTTTTGTTTATTTTGAACAATCCGGATAATCGAGGTTCTACTGTATACACACACACACACACACACATGCATATACATATTATATATATATACATACATATCAATATTAAATNTAGTTTATTAAACCTATATATACAGTGGAACCTCGATTATCCGGACTAATTGGGGATGAAGGTAGTCCGGATAAGGAAAAATTCGGATAATCGAAACAAATACTTTGTCTTTTAATGATAATACAACACGTTTTCTTTTTGATGACATATTGGTAATATTAAAAGTAAATACTGTACTTAAATCGTGATCAAATTTTTAAGAAACAAACGTTCATATTGAATTTGGACTACTGCTGACCAACGCTAACCCTCTGGTGGCGCAAGAAGACGGATTTTATAAAATAAAAAGCAGTTGAAACTGCATTTTTATGAATAAAAATTTGACTAACTATTTATCGTTTTATGATGAATAAAATTTTTTCTTCGCGTTTGCAGCTTAAGTAATGCATAAACCTTTGAAACGCGAGGCCCTTCGGACCGCGAGGCATAAGCGGTGGCCCACGTCGTCCACGCCTTACGCCGCCCTTGGTCATAGAAATGATGTAATTTGAAAATAAAATTATTTATAAATACGTATGTCAAGTTATATTTTTATTATGACGCAAAATATATTTAAGAGTTTACGGCCACTGTGCCGGGTGAGATGTTGTTGAAACAAAAAAAGTTATGCATTCCATCATGTACTGTACATAAACAGTATCGTAATTCGCCAACTGCAAATCAGCAATTCGTAAAATTTTTGTTTATTTTGAACAATCCGGATAATCGAAAATCCAGATAATAGAGATCCGGATAATCGAGGTTCTACTGTATATATATACACACACACACACACATGCACATACATATCAATATTAAATATTGTTTTATAAATGTCATTTTTGAAAATTGCATTACATGAATACATTCACTTTGAAACGATCCAACAACTACATTAATTAAACTTTAAACTGTTTCAGTATGATTTAATACAAATTTACAGGAAGACTACAATTTTTATTAAGTGCTAAATTGCTTTTTCAAGCTAATATAATAAAATCTACTGTTCACAAATTTTTAGGCCATATTATAAAATCTCAAATTATCATTACAAAAGTATTTACATCAATGGTCCAAACTTTTTTCATGGTCATCCTATCAATAAAGAAATTTTTGACAACTCATCAAAATAAGAAAAATATTGTTGTTGCATTCAGTTCAAAAGCAACTTCAATTTCAATGAAATTAGTGTTGCTACAGTAAGAAAGAAAACTTATCTTACAATACTAGCATGAATCTGCCATTCATATTAAACCTTTTTTTAATCATCATTTTATAATTAAAATTGATATATTTTATTAAATAATTTCAATTTATCTTTTAATGAACTAGTAAAATATGGATACTAAAATAATCAATTAAAATATGTATTTTTGTGTTTTTTCCTATTGAAAATATGTGTTTTTTCCTATTCTTATTCATATATTTACTAAATAACATTCTACCACCAGTTAGAATGAAAATTTGCCATCATATAAAATTTAAAAGACAATTTTAAGTTTTCATATATACAAACAGATAAACTAAATATAAATATTTTCAATAGAAATAAATTATGAAAAATTGTATTAAAAATTATTTATTCAGTGAAGCAAATACTTTACTTTTTTCTTTTTTTGTGCAACATAATTTTCCCAAGAACTTAAAAAACAGAAGTTTCTCATCCAAATACATGTAAATTAGAATATTCAATAAAATAGTGTACAGTAATACCTCGGTTTTTGTTGTCTTTGGCTATTGTCAGTTTTGTTTTTGTTGATTTTTTCCACTAAAAATTTGTCTTTGTTTTTGTTGGTTGCATCAGATTTCGTCAATGTGCCCACGTGACCTGGTTGCTAATTTTGCAGACAAAGGATGACCCATGTGCTTTCCTGCTCACTGTGGTGTCATTTCTCATCGTGTGAGCATTAACCCACATGTCTAGCCAAACAATTACATTGCTTTCCTTTCCTTTTAGCTCCATCATGAGACCAAAGAAAGTTTCCAGAGCCAGCAGTCCTTAGAATGCCACATTAAATGTTAATTTATTCTCTACATTAGTCTTTTATATTCATTATATATTAATTTCTTATTGTTTTTAGTATAAAACACTATATTTATTCTCTATAAAATGTGTTTTTGGTATGTATCTTGGAGGGTCTAGAACAAATTATTTGGATTTACATTGATTCATATGAAAATAATTGCCTCAGTTTTGGATTTCGGCAATAGTTTTCGGAAAGATTATTGACAAAAACTGAGGTATCAGTGTATATATATTTTCAAAGTTTAATTATTAATAATTAAAATCCTGTACACATTACTAGATATTTGTTTGTTTTAATGATTCAATTTATCTTATTTTTTCATTTGAATCCTAAAGAATCATTGTAAAATATACTTAAATAACTGGATATTTTCAACAACAATTTAGATAATTAGGATGAATATCATACAGAATCAGGTTTTTTTCCATAAATTAAAAGTTTTATTTGACATTGTATTATAAATAAAAAAAAATGTATAAAATGAATTATTTTACAGTATATTTTTATCATAGAATCATTTTATAATCATAAATACAACAATAATAATAATAATAATAAACTTACTTGAAAAACAAAAATTATTCTCTATCACAAGTATTACAGCTGTACTATTCCTTTTCCTCCACCTGGAATTATACAAATTTCCAAGTAAAATCAATAATAAACTTTTTAAAAAGCAAATATATAAATAAACTGCGAAATTTATCAGAAATTTAAGGAAAAAATAATAATATAAACATAAAAATAAACCTTAATTAATCTGTAAATATTACCATTTCTTGTGTTTGTTAATTATCTTCTTAAAAATTCTTTTTGTTTTCACTTTATTTTGTAACGGGATGAGTTCACTTTCATTCTTCAAAATTGCAACGTGATCTCCATCTTGTCATTTCCCTTTCTCATAAAAACGCGCCCTCTAGTGATAAAACAATCTTTTCAAAATATAAATATTTTTATATATACAGTATATTTTTTTTAAATAGTAAAATATTCATTTATTTATTCGCTTATATAAATGAAATTATTTAAAATTTTAAATAAAATATTATATTCAATTCGAATAATACAGTATTAAATGTCTTGTAGTAAATATGTTTACGTCACGCTACATCTATATGACTTTACTTTGATATTTATATTTATTTTTATACATATAAAACGAAACTTATTTATTTTTTTATGATTTCATATCCATAAACTTATAACTTATATTCAAATAATGTTGTAATATAACTCAATTGACCAGTAAGAACGAGAATTTTATTTGGAAAACGACGAAATCCTAGGATACACTCCATTTAACGCTTCATATTCGTACGGTTTCGTCTCTGATTTTAAATTTTTCGGGTCGATTTGAATAGCAACGAATAAAAAAAAACATTATTTATCATTTATTTGTTTATGTTATTTGAAATCATAAACCGTAAATGGAAAATTTGAAATTATTATTAGTTAGAAGAATAATGTTTATGTAGTTTGATAAATATCACTTATCGGTTTCGGAGCAGTTTTCGGTCTCAAATTCACTTTATAAACATATAAATTATATCAAAAAACGTATAGAAAATTGTATTTTTTAATTAACAATGAATAAATAACGTAACTTGTAAATCCGGTATTCTATATTCGGCATTCATTACGCGTTACATAAATCGAAATTTAAATGAATACAGTAGTTCGTATGTAATACAAACAATTACAACTGCAATGTAACTACAGTATTTGTTTCTTTATAAAAATCTATGAAAATTTTAGTTGGCAAATACTAAAAATTTAATCTATATAAGTTTTATTACTTTCCCGGCTGTCATATAACAGAGGAAAAGTATGGCGATCGGTCCAAAATGACTACTCAAGACTTTTACATTTTTAGACTAAGGGGCTAAATGCAAAATAAGTTGGGAGTTTTTTCTGTATGTACGAATGTTAATGTGTGTGGGAAGACATGATTTATTTCACCCAACTGAAACTTAATAACGCCTCTGACTTTATTCGAAAATTTCCAAAATTTTGCAGGAATGTTTGTGTATTAGAGGGAAATGTTTCTAGAAATGTTCAGGAAAATCGGACTAATGCATTGTTTCTGGAGATAATAAGGTAAGAGAGACCATACCTCAAAAAAAAGCTCGTCTCTACTCTCTCAAAACTAACCCTTTCTGTCTTTTATAAGGATTTAATAATATAAAAGTTATTTTTTCATAACGTCTCATAATGAATGGCGCCACACACAATTTTAACTTTATGCTAATGTGTCTGAGACAAATTAGTGTTCTTAAACATAAGTTTTTTTCGTTGGAAAAGTTACTCGTTGCTGAATTTTTTTATAATGAAAAATACAAAATACATTAAATTTTTATCTTATTTTTATAATATTTAAATATATATAACACATAAAAACGAAGACTTTTACGTTCATGTTCGGAGAAAAGAAAACGCATGGTAACCATGTGTAATATATATAAATATGTATTTTATTACAATATTATAATAATAATACTTTTTTTATTTTTGTCTCTTTTCACGCTATGGGCTCCAAGAGAGCTTACTGAAATAATTTAAATTATGTTAGACGAATTAATTGTACTAAAATTCTAATTATTAGCTGTTTAGAATATTTATGCAGCCGTAAGCAGAAATCTACATTTATCTATTATTCTCTTTAATCTCTCAACTTATGAGCTGTCTATAAACTACGTAACGCAGATACGGTGAATGGGTATGCAGGTAATCGATACGATGCGTTACAAGAGCTATTTACAAAAACGCTACGTAATGCTAAACGTTTAACCCTCGGGTAACAGAATTATTAATTTCCGTTTTTGAAATGTTGCTTAGCGAATTATAATTTACACACGTAATCAATAAATTAATGTAACGTTCAGTACCTCGCGCTCTATATTACTCCTTAGTAGGCTACAATTAAGGATTGAAGAGATGAGTTACGTAATTTTGTGAGTGGATATGTGCAGAACATTAGTGGGAATGAGATGGTAATTGAAATGTATTAAAAAAGCGTTATCCCTTATTGGGAATATGTGTGATGAATAATTCTGGAAAATGTTATTCAGAATTTAGAATTTCCTAAGTACATTTCTTACTGCACATTAAATCTATATATATAATCGAGACGGGTTGATAATAATAATGATAATAATAATAAGCGTACAGCCCAAACGGTTAGGAGTTGAAAGTTGAAATTTGGTACACAGATAGGGCACGTCACGAAAACGCACACTAAGAAGGGATTTTTCGAAATTCCCCCCCGGGGGGAGAGAGACAGGATTAAAACTTCTATATACATTATGGATATGAGCCCAAACGGTTAGGAGTTGAAAGTTGAAATTTGGTACACAGTTAGGGTACGTTAGGAGAACGCACACTAAGAAGGGATTTTTCGAAATTCCTCCCCACGGGGGAGAGGGACAGGATTAAGGCTTAACACTTCCATCAACAATGGAAGTGTTAAGTAACAATGGAAGTGTCAACAATGGAAATGCTACGTAACAATGGAATTGTTAAGAGAAAGCGACGTGCAATACGCAGATGCAGTTTTTTTCGTTTTTGCGGGAAATCGAACATATTTTTAGATCCATCTAAAAATTCTCTAATTAGTCTGGAAACAGGGGGACCCAATTCTTGCATTTTGTGAAAACGGATAAGGTTGACTGTAACGTAATAATCTTTATTTTAGTTATCGTTACTTTTGCCCGAGCAACGCCGGGCCCACCTGCTAGTACTACAATACGATTGTAAAGTTCCCCCGCAGTGGGTTGGGAAACGGGAGGCGATACCAGAAACGAAGTAATGGCGTCAAAGGCAGACCACACGTCGAAAGAGTTAGTTATGACATCACCATTCGGCTGAGTCACATGGGCATGGCCCACTGTGGAGGTATATTACGATTGTACTGTATTTTTTAAGATCGTGCATTTTAAAATAACGTTACGGCACTTTGCAGTTGAGAGCGAGTAAATTTTCCGGCGCGAGGGAGTGAATGTGATGACGTCAGATTATAGTGTTTTTTTTTGTTTTGTTTTGTTTTTCGTTACTCGCTCTCGCTAACGTTGTCATACAGCGAACTTTTCCTTTTAGCTTGAGTGTAGATAAAATAAATGGACTATTTCTATTCGTTTACTATTTCTAATTCGATGTTTTGCTTAATCGCTTAAACCATATTTCGGAATAAGCCATAATCGAATTAATTAATATCTCTCTAAGAAAACATGATTATTTTCTCGCTCAAATACGCTGAAGAAGCCATGTTTGTATGGTATATACACCGAAAACGGCGTGAGGAGCTAATGCTCAAGCACAGTATAAAGCGAGAACTTCAAATCGCGATAAAAATCAAACAATGCTAGATATCTGGGAGACACTAAAGTCATGCAAATATTTTTAAAGTATTGTTGATATATTGCTATTGACTGATTAAAAAACAACGTGCAAACATAAGTATTGACAGACCAAACAAATTAGAAATGTTATGTAAATTTTTCATTATTTCAATTTTTAAAAGTACTCCTTTATTACAAAATGCAACAGGCTAATAATTTATAAGAAAAACATTATATAATTATAATTAATTACAACTAAAAGTTAAAGACTTTTAAATTATTTTTATAATACAAGTGTCCATTGCATTACACGATTAATTCGTCTAGAGAAATAATCGTGTGAAGTGAATTTAACACGGCATGATAAGAATTGGGGACTAGGCCAAGAAAAAACAAAGAAAACCCATAAATGCAACAATAAATTAATTTTATTGTTAATGTAACTATTACAATGCTACAGGTATTGTCAGTCTTCAATCGTATAACCTGGATCTTGAGAATCTGAATCATTACATTCTCACTGTCTTGAAGGCCCTGGTATGGTTGAACTGACGATTTTCAAGTTTTTTGATGAAATGGTCGAGACTCAGTTAACAGACAGCATTCTTCTCTCTATAGAGTTCTGTATAGCGAGCCAAGGACAAGGAATTCTCGCAACTTTGAAACTTGTATTCTTGTTATGGTCATTTTATCCAATGATTCTAATTTCACTGTCAATGTGCTTGAAAAATTCATCTTTTTGCTTTTTTTGAAAGATATTTTACGGGCTTAAGGACATCATGTTCCTCCCCTTCATCGTGTTCATCATTTTCCATTTCTAAAAGCCCTTCACTAGTGAGTTCTGTTGAGTGGAACCGCAGTACAAAGCAGTTCATCCACATTTGCTTGGTTTAAATCATGAAATCTAAAAGCTCTTTTCATGTCAATAATGTCTTGTCTTGAATTGGAAAGTTCGTGTTCATAATCAAATTTACGTGAATCGGAAACTTCAGGCCAAATCTATGCTGTAGCACAAGGTCACGACATCACGGTATAGGATGACTGTAAAATTTCAACTTGCTATTCATTTGTAAATAAATTACCATTATTTTAATTTTATTTTTATAAATCGCGTTATAGAGAAAACACGCGAAGTGAAATCGCGTATAACGAGCTATACCTTTCTTTAAATCAATCCCCAATTGGTTTATAAATGAGGATGCCTGTTTGTTTCATGGTGGAAAAATACAGGTAAAAGCATTCCTATTGTTTGACTGTCATGTCTTTTAAATGATGTGTGCATAATTGCAAAAGTAATTATTATCCAAAGAAACAAATAGCAAATGTATTTAAGGCACCAAAAGATGTTTAAAAAATGGAAACGAACAATACCATATGCAAACGAACGTTACGATGTTTGTGAAAATCATTTTGCTCCTCATCAAAATCTTCGTTCGTGGAGACTACATAAAGATTATATGGAAAGGAAGTATTAACGTTCCTTATAAAACTCCTTCACAAATTAAGAATGTAGTGCCCAGTTTGTTTCCCAATTGTCCATCATACCTTTTCTAAACCCAGCAAAG